TAGGTAAGCGGCCACCTCGTTAAGAAAATACGCCCAATTGATTTTATATCTTGATTGAATACCAATGCAGTTTTCTTATTGGTTGCGTGTGGGCCGATTACACTCCCGTGGACGAAGTTTCATTTGCATCTTCTTGTGAGATACCAGTGAACTCTTCCAGCACAGAGGCGCACACGCAACCCTGTGGCCGAAGGATACATCGCACATACCTGCGGGATGGACACCCCTAAAGATCAGTGAAGACCTTTTCAAGTCAATGATGCTTTTGGCGCCCTTTCGGTCATGGGCGTTCCACTACACCCAGCAATTGAATTGGCACTGTACGTACATTAGGTCGTCTCCATCCAATCCATATCTATATATATCTATCTCCAATCCAAACATTTTTTATGCGCCCATCACCTGGCCATTCCTTGCAGCAAAAGCATCCATCCCCCGCGTGTGTGCTTACTACTGCACAATTTCTCGAGTCCTCAAGGACGTTCTGTAGACCAGCTCAGAATCATATCATATACTCCCTTCTTTCGATTTATAGAGCTCATCTTAAAATTTTAATTTTTCCATTTTATAAGGCTCAATTTGATTGTTTTCCATCACATGTTCAGATTCCAAGGTGCATTAAATCATTGCATATACTTTATGCATGCATGCATTGCAATTTATGCATTGGTAAACATAATTTTTTGAGAAAAACAAGTGCATTAATTAGGTACTTTTGCAAACTACAAAAAGTATTCCACCATTCATCATCTACCTTGATTGGTGAGATTTTTGAATTGAGCCCTATAAACCAAAAAGGAGAGAGTAGGAGCACATCATCAGCTGTATAATAACCGCTGTCAAGAGTCGAACCGTTGATCGGTCCGCGTCACATCACACCGATCGGAGATGATGACTCGTGAGACTAGCCCGGACAAAAAGGACGGCCACCATCCAACTCAACTCCGAAGGAGAAGAAACTTCAAAGTTGCAGCCGCACGTACGTCTGGGTTTTATAATCGTAGCGTATCATGAGCAGATTCCCAGCTCAGCACCGGTTCACACTACACGCCTCACCTGCACCCGCGATCACCACAGAAATCCCGGCCATCCTGGCACCCTTTCTCGTCTGGTTTCATAGCTGCAACGACCGGGAAAAATCGGGCTGATATTTTGTGCGGCGATGGGTTGTGACGCGACGCGACGCAGGGTATATGCGGTGGGCGCACTACGTAGCGCCTACGCAGCCGCCGACGGGGATTCCCGGTGGGGGGTGCCGTGCGGGCCCCGGCGACGGCACCGCCTTCCTTCTCCTGCCGCGCGAAAAGTTGGCGACGGCGACGGTTGGGATGGGACGGGGGATGGCGCGAAACCGATCAACGCCAGCCACAAAGGTATATCATCGGAGACGGAGATAGATAGATAGATAGAGATCGTTTCGGAGAAAATACCAGCTCGTTGGAACATACTTCCTCCGGTCTTTTTTACTTTGCACATTGGTTTTGCCGAAAGTCAAACTTTGGTAAGTTTGTCTAAATTTATATTGAAAATTATTAGCATCTATAATATCTAATAAATATAATATGAAAATATATTCCAAGATGAATCTAAAGATATAATTTAGTTTATAATTTTTATAATGAATGTTTATAATTTTTTTATATAAACTTGGTCAAAGTTGAATGAGATTGACTTTGGACAAAGCTAATATACAGAGTAAAAAGGACCATAGGGAGTACTACGTATACTGTAATTTTCGTCGATCCTAGCTGCATCCCTAGCTTCGCTTCATCCAGAAGAATAATGGTGCGTCGTGGATTCTGATTCACCGTCCACCAGCACCGGGTAACAGTGAATGAGATCGGGGCGATGATTGAGCTAGGTCAGGGTAATGCTATTTTAGTTTGACGCCTTTGCCGGTCTTTTCTGTGGAAAGGGATTTGTGCTCTTTGACTGACTTTCTTTTTAAGTGTTTTGGTCTGTGTGGATGGATAGAAGGAAAACTTGGAATCAGTGCTTCTTTGAATCTTTGGTGGGGTTGGTGGTAGAAGAAGAAAGAAGATACTCTGAAATTTGACAGTAAAATGGATCACGCTTGTGTTTCTTGATCCGACTCCGGTGGTGTTTCTTGGCTCTGCATATCTGAACCATGAACAAATTAAGCTACTGGTTTTTTTCTTTGAACCTGAATTAAGCTACTGGTTAATAATGTTTCCTTGTGAAATACAGGTGCAGTACTGATAGCTCCTGTGCTGCCGCTACCATTTCATTTTTTTCCATTTTAATGCAGGAGGACTGTTTTACTGCTGCAGTATTGTTAGCGGTCTGTTTGTATTTTAAGAGCAGTTGCTGCTGTTTTTCTTAAGCTGCTGCCGCTAGTGCTCACTGCTAAAGGAAAATACTCCTACAGATGCAGAGTAAGACTTATTTGGGCCAGTATAGTGCGAGGGACGGAGGCCTCTCTCTCTATTGAGCACGGCCCAGCCCAAGGCTCTGCTCAGCAGCCCACATAGGCATCTTCTCCCCGAGGTCGCGGCGGAGGTTTCCTGCCGCCGGCCGCCACCCAGCTCCGGACCGCCCCACGATCGACGCCGTCTCCGCGCGATCCTTCCCTCCCGACGCCGGCATTCCTTATCCCCCTGCGGTACGGATTCGGGTCGATGCCTTTCCCCTTTTGAGCAAAGCGACCATGATTTAGCAGAGCCTAGGTGAACTCGATTGCTGCACTGCGCTTAGTTAGTTCTGACGATTCCGCCGTCTGGCGCCTAGGTGAGCTTGATTCTTGCCCTGTGGGTTCTGTTGATTCCATGACAGTGTTGTGTCTAGGTCTGACTTAATTCCTGCAGTTTGGTCTGGTACTGCCACTGGCCCATTTATGCATGAACCTGGTTTCGAACTTTCGATATGTGCAGAATGCAGGAGTGGGTAAGTTCGTTCTTGTTAGTAGCAGATGTTCGGTAGCGTCTAGAATTCGTTACATGCTCATTTTGTTGGTTAGGTACATCAACATATGCATGGTGCTGTTAGCTACAAATAATCAAGGAACTATTTTTGTTCCACGATTCAGAATTTCAGATACAGATAGGTGCTATCATAGTCGACCGTGGAACGAATTGAGTCTGAAGGGGGAGCTGCCCTGTATAATTTTATTAAGTTATTGTGAGACACTGGCGCTCGTCACAGGACTCCAACCCTACTCGGTAGGGACATACACCACAATCCGCTATGACTCAGTTCCCAATTAGGGTTCATTGTGAAGATTAGCACACAAATTTTTCCGAAGATACATAACCGTTTGAAGCCTCATCAATGTTTCCTTTACATGAGTTTAAAAGCTATTATCTGATTATCTTGATGTGTTCCATTCTGATAATAATATTTTAATTTCAGCACCCTGTCGAGCATTGAGATTCCCAAGTCATGCCACGGAGATTCTCGATGGAGGGTCTCCCAGAGGCACTGCTTGCAGAGATCGTCACGAGGGTTACCAAGACAAGTGATCGTAATTCTCTTTCCCTCGTGTCGAAGCAGCTCTGCACCGTCGAGGCGGAGCATAGGGATGCTATCCGTGTTGGCTGTGGACTCGGCCCTAGTACAGAAGCCTTGGTATCGCTGTTCTCCCGGTTCCCCAATTTGACGAAAGTAGAGATCAATTATTCTGAATGGAAGCCCAGTGATGGGGGCCAGTTGAAAAACAAAGGCCTCCTTGTTCTATCATCTCGCTGCCTACATCGATGACATTGGTCTTTATTATCTAGCTGAGATCGAAAATTTGAGGTCCCTCAGGCTGAACCACGCACCAGCAGTAACTTCTACTGGGAATTTGAGTTTGAGATTAATGGAAATTACGTTGAGATGGGGGCCCATGATTCCTCCTACGTGTCTGGCTACCCATATAGCTATGACATCTGCTGTGATAATTTGAAGGATCTTAGATTGGCTCATATTATAACTCAGCCAGAAATTGGACTTCGTTTTCTCCTGGGGAAGTGCAAAGCATTGGAGACACTTTATTTGGAGTACGTTATTGGTCTAAGTGAGAGTGAGATGATCGCACTATTCCAGAATTGTAGCAACCTTAAAAGCATCTCACTTCGACTCATCCCTCTGCACTGTGAAGATTATGAGTTTAGGACAGCATTGACTGATGTTAGCCTTAAGGCTCTAGCACTCAGCTGCCCTATGCTTCAGGTTGTTGAGCTCACATTCGCATTTTGCTCTGTGCGTCGGCCAACAGATATAGGCTTCACACAAGAGGGTATTGTAGCGCTCATCCCATCCTGTCCGATTCGTGCTTTTGTGCTTAACGGTGCCACCATTTTCCGTGACGAGGGGATGAAGGGCCTCTCATCCTCACAGTTTCTGGAGACACTCGAGCTCGTGCATTGCAAGTCTATAACTGATGCTGGGATGGATCTCATTGCTCAGGCTCCTTGTCTGAGTCACCTCACGCTACGTCAATGTAGCAGCATCACCGATGATGGAATGGCTGCACTCATACGTTCTCATAAGTTGGAGTCACTGACGGTTATAGGCTGCTGCCAGGTCTCTCAGGAGGGCATTCAGGGAGCTGCCAAAACAGTTCGCTACTCGGCAGAGATTGAAAACCTCGGCAGCTTAAAAGGAATGCGGATTCAGTATATGGAGTTTTAGTAGTTACAGTATCATGAAAGTAACTAGAGAACAGATGTACGCGTTGACATTTTCGTGTGGCACAACTCCAATGCCTCGGTTATTATTTTAGACTGTTAGCAACTCACGAGTTTCTCAAATTCTTCCGTCTCGCTAGGCTTGGAATGAAGGTTATTTTTCCTATTTATTTCCCTATTCGTGTCAAATTCTTGCATGTTGTGGGACTTTAAATGATGGTTGTTTTCCGTATTATAATGTATTCACATTGCTTCTTTAAAAGAAGAAAAAAGGGGAGGAGAGCTCCTTTCATGTATTCACATTGTCATTGCAGAGCTCGCTGTGTCTTCTGACGAGATCTGAGGAGTGATAACCGGAGCTGCAGGGCTCCATCTTGGGTGCCAAACTCCTAATCTCAACCGACTGGAACCGCTGGAGAAGGCGAGATGCAATGATCTTCAGAAACCTCACTATATCTGACTGTTGGAAATACTTCATTTATCTTGTAAAAAGTCGGTTGAGGCCGGCTTTTGCGCGGCATAGAACAGTAGGAAGCAATAGCAGGTTGTTTTGGGTTGCTTGTGAAATGCAGTAGTTTCTGCATCACAAGAAATTTTCTTAACAAGGTCACACTCCGCAAATGCAAGAAAGTGACAGATAATGGAATGGTTGCACTGGTACGTTGGCAGAAGCCGGTGTCCCTGACTTTTATAGGGTGCCGTCAGATCTCTCAGGACGGTGTCCAGGGGGCTGCCAAATCATTTCACTACTCCGCAGAGATCGAGAGCCACGACAGCCTAAAAGGATGAAGCTCAATCTGTCTCAGTCTCAGAAGTAATGTTCGGCTTTTAATTTCTGTTGCTGCATGTAGTTGCAGAATTTAACTACTCCTAGTTTCTGTTGCTGCATATATATATGCATGTAGTGGCACATGCTCCCTCCGTCTCAAAATAAGTGTAGCTGATTTTTTGGGACTGAGGGAGTATATGTGATAGTAACTGGAAGAGAATCTACCTTACACTTTCGTGTGACTGAACTCCGAGGTCATTTTAGACTTTATAAGCGCCTCAGGAATTTGTCCGGATTTTAACACGTTTTGAGTTTTGAATGACAGTTGTTTTGGGTATTTATATTGTCTTTACATTGTTTCTTAAAGTCACAACAAGGGGGGCACTGAGCTCCTTTCATTGAGACCTAACATGGGCCTTCAGATTTGAAACGAATTACAGGTTCTTCTAGTTGCACAATCGGCTGATAACCGGAGCTGCAGGGCTCGACCTTCTGCCGTAATCTCAATTGATTGGGGAAATGTAATGATCTTCAGAAACGAAGTCGACTCGGGCTCGTTGGTTTTTGCCGAGGATCCGATTCGATTGTTTCATCGCGGCATGCCCGTCCATAAATAGTTGCTATATGGCTGGAGGTGCCATGTGATCTCCAACCGCGTCACTTCAGTTCACTGCTTTCTGGTTGTATTCGATTCTTGCAAATACTACTTTGGCTCTCTTGTCCTGTAGAAGTTGGCACAGTAAAAAAAAAGGAATATGTTCTTTCTTCTGGCTGCTTGTAGAACATCATGCATTGCACATATGAACACAATTAGTACAGTAAACAGGAAATAAAAGGCAACACAAACTAAATATCCTAGAGCACCTTACAAGCCGCAAGCTGACCATGATCTGGGAAATCCACCCGGGACTTCAGATCACAATCAACAGATGCCCAGGAAGATAAGAAGCAATGTTTGAGACCCTGCTTATACTAATAGTACAATCAACCAACTAACTACGACAATAGGGGGGAAAGCAAAGTACATTGCCAGCCATTACATTGAGCAAAGCAAACTATACAGCAAATACCCAAAAGGAGCTTCTCCATCAGGGTCCTCGCACATGCTGACTTCCCCAGATCGTCACTCTATTCGGAGCACACCAAAAAATCTCAACCTTGAATTGCACGAAAGACTTCATTTGCTGTCTACTTTGGCATTCTTACCAATCACTTCAGATTTCTTCGATTTCCTGCTTTTTCTGCAAAATAGTCCAATCATTTAGCCATCTGGCAATCATATCAATGAGGACACAAGGGTCAGTGATTTGTGCATTATCAAACAGAGTACTACTCCCTCCGTTTCTTTATTTATGGTGTATTATTTTCGACACGGTGACCAAGGCACATAATTATAGACATGTTAGGACAAAATTATCCTTGGCAAATTGATTAGTTAGTGGCGAGTAAATCAGTGTTCTAGTAAAGTAAGAGATACATGCAATCGACAGAGAGATATTTTCCTTCTTTCTCTATAAGAAGAGATACTGACAATCAAAAGAGATATATACTTTCCTTTCTTCTAGAGGGCTAACAAGGGAATTATGAGGAATTAGAAGAAATGCACCTTACATTCTAAAATTTTATCGAAAAACAAATACACCTTATATAAAGGAACAGAGGGAGTATCTCCTATTTACCGCATATGGGTACGTCCTTCTAATGCCATGAGATTCACGATACGTACCCATATGCCATGTGCTACCTATCAGCTTGTACAATATCGAATCATGGAAATTGAAAGTGATAATTGGCACAGCAACCTTGTCCAGTAGTACAGTACTTGTACATCAATAGAGATCAATGAGGGGGCTATATAATAGAGCAACAACCTTTACTTAGCCAGTATTACAACAAATGAAGCAAAATTCAGAGTATAAAGAAATGGACCAAAGTCGCATGCATCCCTGCTTATCGTGGTATACATGATGTATTAGGACTGGGAGACATCGGTAATCTAGTGGCAGCATATATTTGGGAGCGTGGTAATCAATCAAATTACCAGTGTAGAGTCTTCGGTTATGGTAGTAGCAGCGAGTAGCAGTCTACCGCAATGACGAAAGCGCTTGTGTCATCTTGAGATGTTCATCTCCATCCTCCGCACAAGGACTAGGCCATAGCTCTTCAACCTGCAGTTCCTCTGGGATGTCTAGTAGAGTTTCACAGGATCGATGTGCCTTTGTATTTCTTTCTGCAGTTTCTAGCTTAAGCACTCTCTGCTCCCTTATTATCATCGGACCGTGTACCGAACCTCGAATCTACATAAGCCTTGTTATCACAATGCGTATTTTAGTATTTCGTCCGGTTGACCTAGAGACCTTGGTTGTCAATATCACAAATATCATTGTTGGCCTACTGTGTGGTCTCATAGGTTCAAGTGCGGAGCCCCCCTCACCGACAGTTAAAAAAACATTTGTAGGTAGCACTATAAGCATGATCAATTATAGTACACTGCTTCAGGGCTCTCAAGCTTCATGCGTTGGTCTGTAGCTGATTCACTAACGCACATACTGCCTAACGTCTTATATTAAGTTACAGAGGGAGTATTTGATATGATTAAGACCAAACACCAATTAATCATGACAGTAGGATGAACCATACGTAGATGTGAGTGAAAGAAGCAGGAGACTAGACATGAATATGTTTTTGTTATGCTTGCTCCATCTATATAATCTCACAACGAAGTTTCTTTGGTTCTTGCCACTGTAAAATAGATGAATCTTCTGAAGGAAAGCTCTAGTACATTGTATTGTTCATTACCTGGCATCATCACTGGTCTTCTGATTATCATAAGTTTGTTGGCCTGGAGTGGAACGACGACAAGTATAGAAGCGATGGACAAAGATGTATGCCAGAACGGCACCAACCAGGGACACGACCTAGGCGTCGTATGCGCCGACAAGGCCGACCAGCGCGACTACTACGCACATGCATTGCTTGAGAGACCGAGCTTCTTGCCATGGATGATGAGCTGCATGGTGATGAGCAGGGACGCCACGAACGCCATGGTGTTGCAGAGCAGGAACACAGGTTCGGAGAAACTGTTTTTTCCTGTATGTTCGAACAATTCAGAAAAGTTCAGTCAAAATATATTAGTAGGAAACTTCTCATAGTAGCAGCACCTGGTTTCTTTTGTAATAGCTGTTTCAAATAGCCCGCTATAGCTCCGCTATAGCACGCTATAGCGTTTACAAAAGGTCTTGCGCTAAGAGACTTTGGTCCAAACAAATGAACAAACATTTTAAATAGCGCGCTATAGCTCCGCTATAGCACGCTATAGCATATGAAAGAGGTTCCGCGCTAAGATGCTTAGCGCGCTATTTAAAACTTTAATAGTATATGATTGGCGCCTGAGGTAAGTCTAAAAATACACGAGTTTCAAGTACCTTCGACGAGTAGAAAACGTTAGTTGGGGCTGGGGACTGATTGCACCGACGGTGGGTTGCGCCACCGCAGCACCTGCGCTGCCACCAGCAGGTTCTCCAGCAGAGGCCGTGCCTCCATCACTGCCGGCAGTAGCCGCCTCAACTGTTGGAGCGCCGCCTCGCTCCTGTCGTCGATGGCGATAGCTGCAGAGATGGCCTCGATGAGGCGGGACGATCGATGGCTGGCAGGGAGAGCAAGGATGTACTGCTTAACATTGCAAGTGGAATCAGGCATACTTGAGGAATTACTTCCCTCTGCTGATCTGTGCATGCTTGTCAAAGCACACATCTCTCCGTTGTCCTGGCAAAGGTTCAGAAAACTGCCATTTTTATCTTCATGAGCTGATCTGTAACCCTCTTTCTCGAATGTTGATTCTCTGACTATCTTTCTGTAAATCAGCATGTATCTGATCATTCGTCAGTTCTTCTCCACCCAAAGAGTTTCTGTTACGAAGGAATTAGCCGGCAGCTTGCTGGTTCTTGTGTGTAACGCCTCTGATGCCCTTACAATTTTAGATGAAGACATTTGCTATGGCCAAGCAGCATGAAGACTACACTAGATTACATCAAGTGATATGCTGAGTCGCTGTACCATATCTGTTTTCTCTGCCGTTTTGCACAGAACTATCACCATGTACATGTATGTATGTTCAGTGTGAGAAAAAGGCATCTGTTCACTGTTCATAACCTCTTTGCTTTGTTTCATAATATGTGCGCCATGCGTTGTGTTGATATGTTATGAGCAGGAACCACTGTAAAGAAATGACTAGCAGATCTAATCTCCAGGTTTAATGCGCTCAATGACGCCTGAACCTTAAATGCTGCACAAGCAGCCAAAAGAACCTGATATTCTTTTGAAATTCAAACACTGAAGCTATAAGAATAAATTGAAAAAGCAAATGAAGTACAGACAGGAGCAATGCAAATAGATTACAAATCGAAGTTGCTGTCATAGGATACGCAAGAATTCTGTCAAATTCCTAAGACAGATCTCGCGCTACCAAAGCAAGTCTAGAACATCTGAAGCCAATTGGAAATGGCAGGTGCACCTGTCCTCCGAGTTTGCTTTCATAGTTTTGCGGTTTCAAACTTCTGCTGATATATAGTGAACACAAATTAATAGCCAAATACTGGATTCAGGGCGACAGCAGTCATTTTATGTTCATGTTAATTGCTTTTAAACTCTCTAGGCTTTCAAACTCTGCAGAGTAGCGAACTGTTTTGGCAGCCCCTCGCACACCCTTCAGAGAGATCCGGCGGCAGCCTATCACGGTCAGTGACTCCAACTTCTGTGAACGTGCCAGCTCAGCCATCCCATTGTCTGTTACTTTATTGCATTGGCGGAGTGTGAGACTCCTCAAGCAAGGAGCCTGAATAATGAAATTCATACCAGCATCAGTTATAGAGCAGCAGTCCACGAGCTCGAGCTTCTCCAGGAGCGGTGAGGATGAGAGGCACTTCATCCCCTCGTCATACAAAATGCTGGCACCATTTAGCAAAAGAGCGCGAATTGGACAAGATTGGATCAGCGTCAAAATGCCCTCTTGTGTGAAACCTATTTCAGTAGGCCAATCGGGGTCGCAAAATGCGAATGTGAGCTCAACAACCTGAAGCATCGGGCAGCTAACAGCTAGAGCCTTAAGGCTAGCATCAGTCAGTGCTGTCCTATACTCAAAATCTTCACAGCGCAGAGGCCTGAGTCGAAGTGCGACAGTTTTAAGGTTGCTGCACCTCTGGAATAGTGAAATCATCTCATTCTCATGTAGACCAATAACATACTCCAGGTAAAGTGTCTCTAATGCTTTGCACTTCCCCAGGAGAAAACGAAGTCCAATTTCTTCATTTGTTATAATATGAGCCAACCGAAGATCCTTCAAGCTATCACAGCAGATGTCATAGCTATATGGGTAGCCAGACACGATGGAGGGATCACGAGCAAATAACATGAAATAATCTCCATTAATCTCGAACTCAAACTTTTGGAGATTTGCCCATCCTGCGCCAAACTTTAAGAGGTCATACTGGCTGATTCCATCACAATCCTTTACAACAAGTTCACCCAACAATCCATACCTCACAAAGTACTCAAGCCACTCCCTGTTGTCTACTGCCTTACAGTCAACAAGGTGGAGAACTGACAGATACCTGCAACCAACCGCCACCCGAAAAATCCCAGTAGAAGTGACTGCTGGTGCACGGTTCAGCCTGAGGGACCTCAATTTTTTGCAGTCAGATAGATAACCAAGACCAGTGTCGTCGATGTATGAGCAGAAGCTTAAAGCAAGATCAGACAGCGAGGGGCAGTGAGATGATAGAACATAAAGGCCTTGGTTGTTCAACTGCTCCGCGTCAGTAGACTTCCACCCAGAGTAATCGATCTCTACTTTCACCAAATTGGGAAACCGGGAGAAGAGAGATACCAAGGCTTCTGTTGAAGGATTGAGTCCACGGCCAATGCGGATAGCATCCCTGTGCTCCGCCTCGACGGTGCAGAGCTGCTTCGACACAAGGGAAAGAGAATTAAGATCACTTGTCTGGGTAATCCTCTTGACGATCTCTGCAAGCAGTGGCTCTGGGAGATCCTCCATTGAGTATCTTAGCTGCACAACTTGGGCAGTCTCAAGACCCGACAGGCACTGAAGCAAAGATTCTATAGTCAGAACGGAACAGAACAAGATAACCAAATAACAGCTGTACGAACTAATGTAAAAGGAAACACTAGTGAAACATTTAACTTCTTTATATCTGTTGGAAGATCTATTATGCGCTTATCTTGGAACAGACACCAAATTATGTGCTTAGCTTGCAGCAATCACCTAATGCAAAAGCCCAATACTTGTATCCATGTCATGGAACGGAAAAACGTTGTCAGGGAAATCAAATTAACCTGACCTCTTACAGTCTACGAATAGACCAAATAGAACTACAAGACCACAAGGTAATTAAACATCCAACTGAACTCACATCTGCAAGGATATTTCTGGGCGCTTAATAACAGGTTTTACTAAAATTAATTAAAGCAGGCTATTTCCTCTAGGATTGCACAGAGGATATTCTAGGCTCATACGCAGGTGGGAGAACAGGATTTATGCAGACATTGCAGAATGGAATCAAAAGAAGTCAAGTGGAAGAATCGACAGCACCTCGGCTGGCTCAACCAATGTTGCTCGAGAAGGGAAGGGACCCAGATCCGTACCTCGAAGGAGCCGACGAACCAGGGAGGGCGGCGCCGACCGGGAGGGGAGATCTGGGCGGGAACGGCGGTGATCGAGTGGGTGGATTGGGCGAAGAAACCTCCGCGGCGAGGTCGACGGCAAAGCAAACCCTCGCTTTCACTCGCGGCGTGCGTGCTTTTTTTCTATAGGGGAGCGTCGGCTTCGGGATCTCGAATGGATTAGTACGCAGCAGCAGAGAAGGCTTGGGCTTGGGCCGACTTGATGATGATGCGTGCTAAGTCCAAATGTTTCTCATTCGTGTCTCAAAAAAAAAAAGTTTCTCATTCTCTCTCAGTTTTTTTTTGTTTCTCATTCAATAAAAAAATGTTTTGGTTTTGTCTTAATTTAACTTTTTTTGTGGGGGTAAAAGGAGTTTTATTCTAAATCTACAGAGTTACAGTCGAGTGGCAAAAGCTTAGAAATATAAGGTGGTCATTGGTGTAACAACATTGCCATGGTACACTCCGTCCGACTATAATTTGCCAACTGATCGACTACTCATTTTGATTCCTACTAATTTTCTATGGAATAAAGTCCCTATCCTTCCTCAAAGCATTGATCTCCTCCACAAAATGTTGGTACGTGGAGCCGGCTAAACCAATTCTTGGAAAAAGGGATAGGGCCTCCGTGGAGTTTGACTGAATGACCACCTAGAGGCTAGAGTGTTGAACACACACTGGTACACCGCTAATACAAAGGACCCAACATAATGCCGTAAGATCATACCTGTTGCGGCCAATATATCCGCATCAGAGAACGAACCATCCACAGATAAAGTAACGTGATCCGATGGTAGTGGCGGCCATGGACTCGCCTGTACAGGATCTAGTTTTTCCTTCGGCAAATCAAGCAAGGCCGACATTTTGCCTTTAAGAATTTCCTTAGTGTTATATAGTTTCGCGTCACCAGTAGATTTTAGATAGCTATCTAGAAACTCAACCGTGGCATCAACTAGATGGACCTCTTTGTCATGAACCAAATCATCGTGAAGCTGTCAAATTCTCCATATGATCATGATCACCTTTTCGTGTTCTGCTGCATCACAGCCAAGTAAGACACTGAGGAGCCACTCCTTACCATTATTAACTAGGTGATCATCGGAAGACAACGACCAGATGGTCCGCATAAAATCCCAAACCCCGTTTGCGTGGGTGCAGGTGTTAAGGATGCCTACTATGGGGTAAGCCCACAATGATCTAAACTCGTGGAGGCCCAAAGGGCCCGAATCCACCGCTTAAAAATAACAAAAACGTCAACAAGTCCTAATTAATTGGACAACATCGTGACATAAATCCACTCGGACGAAGACACATTATTACCACACTCGGACGAAGAACTCCCAGACACTCGGACAAACTATCACTCGGATGTGAGGAGCAGAACATGCAAGGAAAGCAGCTGAGGCGTCGTAGTTATTATTGACGCATACATTACTTTCATTAAGACGCCCACCACACTTCGTAGTTGATAGTATTTATAGTTGTAATCAACGTAGCAAAAAAGGTGAAAGGACATGGCGCACTCTATATAGGCCGTCCTTCACCATGAGTTAGCCTCTCTTCTTCCATTTCCTCTCTCTCTCTCTCTCTCTCTCTCTCTCTCTCTCTCTCTCTCTCCCATACACATTGTAATCTCCTATGCTCTTCATACACAGGACAAAGAAAGATTTTCCGGAGCACAAGACGTAGGGTCGTTACCTCCATCATGAGAGGCTCGAACTTGTAAAAATCCCTAAGTCACCCATTTGCGCCTCGGAAGATCAGACTCCATTCTCCTACCTCTCTCTTATTGTCAGAATCATCCCCATGACAGCAGCAACACATGTAGCTGTCTTCGGAGCACATCCAACAAGTGGCTAAGTGACATTCAACTTCGTATACTACTGTAGCTAGGGCACCCAATGCCGCCTTCTAGGCGGTAATCTTCATTTTTTTTGGAACCGTGGAGCGCCAGATGAGGTTCCAAATAGAATAATCTCCCTCTAGATGTTAGATTGCAGCTCCACCAACGAACAACTCACCATGTAGTGCAGTCATAAGTCTATAAGCATTTTCAATGAAGAATCGCTCGCTTTTCTCCGAGAACCACACGAGAGGTCTTGTCGTTGTCTCGGTGAGGTCCAGGTCTTAGAAATTTCATTAACGTGAAGAGGCCAAAAATGATCTTTGAGGCATTGGACGTTCCAAGCTCCACTATCATCAAGGAAGTCTAAGACCCCATTAAACCTAGAATTACATTTGGGACTGACTGGCCTGAAGGAAGTCCCACGAGGAATCCAAGGGTCCCTCTATGTCCAGACCAAAGAACCATTCTCCACTCTCCAAATATAATTCATTTTTCTAACAAGTTCCACACCATGCTCGATTCCTTTCCACATGGCCAAATAATTACTAGTGAACACATTATCTTGTAAATTTCCATTAGGGAAGTACTTCGCTCGCAACAGACGCGCACAAAGGCTGCCCAGTGTATCAATTAATCTCCAAGCTTGCTTGGCAAGAAGAGCTTAGTTAAAAGCTCGCATGTCACGAAAGCCCATACCTCCCTTGCACTTTGGTAATCTCATGTTGTCCCAACAGTCATCTTTCTTTTACAATTCTCCATTCCCCACCAATACTGCCTCATCAAGCGTGTTAGATCATCACAAACTAAGGTTGGTAACCTGAACATGCTCATCACATAAGTGGGGATGGCATGAGAACCTATTTAACCAACAATTCCTTACTTCCTAAAGACATTCACCATTCACTCCAATCCATAAGCCCTTGCCCAAAAGCGCTTGGAGTGTTTCAAATCTTCCGTTGTGCATCTTCCATTGTGGGACAGGAAGGCCCAAGTATTTGAGATCAAAAACTTCTTGTGTAACTTCCAGTATAGATTTAACTTCCATTGCCACCGCCGATAGACAATCATCGTTGAAAAGGCTGGAGCACTTTGAGGGGTTAATAAGCTGACCCATCGCCAAAACTTAAGCGTTCAACAAACCTTTTACCAACATCATTTGCTGCTTAGAAGCCTGAAAAAATAGTAATTAGTCATCCGCAAAAAGAAGGTACGAGATAACTGTAGCTCTTCGACAAATTTTTGACACTCCTTCCAGACCTCCTCCATAATGGATTTGTTGATCAACGCAGAGAAAATGTCAACAACAAAAAGGAATAGGGGACAATGGGTCACCTTGGCGAATGCCATTGTTTTTTTTTTTGAAGTTGCGAATGCCATTGTTGGGGGTAAAGGAGTCCAACAATTTACGAGTGAATTTTATTGAATATTTGACCGAAGAAACACGCGCCATAATACGACAAATCCAGATCATATGCTTTGGAAAGATTCAAAAGTTGTAAGCACATAACACCGAGATGAGGGGTGTGGCTGGGTTGGGATTTTGTGACCGGTCGTCCAACCGGACCTATAGGGGCTGTTTGAGGAGCCCGGGCGTAAATGCTCTTACTGACAGCTCCTACCTTTGTTTTTGTTTTCATAGTGCGGCTGCCGCCGTATAGTATTGCTACTGTGCTGCTGGTGCTCACTGCTAAAGGGAAACACGGATGCATAGTAACATTTTTTTAGAATCAAGTAAGATTATTTAGGCTTAATGCGAGGGACGGAGGCCTCTCTCTATTGAGCCCGACCCGGCCTGGCCCGGCCCAAGGCTCTGCCCAGCAACCCACATAGGCATCTTCTCTTCTTCGCCGCTCCCAACCAAGGCGCCGCCCCCCGCGAGAAGAGGGTTTTTCTCCGAGGTCGTGCGGAGGTTTCCTGTCGCCGGCCGCTACACAACCCCGGACCAACCCACGAACGCCGCAATCTCCGCTCGGTTCCTCCCTGCCGACGCTGGCATTCGGGTCGATTCCTTCCCCCTTCTTCGCAGGGCGACCATGATTGAACCAGCCAGCCACCTCGATTGCTGCACTTGGTTCCAGGCGAGCACAATTCTTGCCCTGGGTTTTGTTGATTCCATGGCAGTATTGTGTCTAGGTCGTCTTGGTTGCTGCAGTTTGGTCTGGTAATGCTATTGGCTCATTTATGTATGAACATGGGTGGAATCTGCATGGGTGGACAGACTGTTTTCGTTAGTAGCACATGTTCCCGAGCGTCTACGAGTTGTTACATGCTGTCATTTTCATGTGATTGGTTAGGTACATCAACATATATCATATATGGTGTTGTTAGATAGAAAGAGGGTGCTGCATTAGTTAGCATCAATTGTGAAACAAATTGAGTACGCGCCACTAGGCTATGACCCAGTTTTCAGTTAGTGTTTATTGCGAAGATTAGCGTTCAGAGCCTCATCAATGTTTTCTTTACATGAGTTTTAATAACAACTGTTATCTGATTATCCTGATGTGTTAATAGTATTTTAATTTCAGCACCCTGTCGAGCATTGCGATTCCCAAGTTGTGCAGCTGAGATAGTCGATGGAGGGTCTCCCAGAGGCACTGCTTGCAGAGATCTTGAAGAGGGTTACCAAGACAAGTGATCGTAATTCTCTTTCCCTCGTGTCGAAGCAGCTGTGCACCGTCGAGGCAGAGCACAGGGATGCTATCCGTGTTGGCCGTGGACTCAAACCTACAATAGCAGCCTTGGTATCGCTGTTCTCCCGGTTCCCCAATTTGGTTAAAGTAGATATAAATTATTCTGGATGGAAGCCCAGTTACAGGGGCCAGTTGAAAAACCAAGGCCTCCTTGTTCTATCATCTCACTGCCCCTTGCTGTCTGATCTTGCTTTAAGCTTCTGCACTTCCATTGATGACTCTGGTCTTGGTTATCTAGCTGACTGCAAAAGTTTGATGTCCCTCAGGCTGAACCACATACCAGCTGTCACTTCTACTGGGATTTTTCGGGTGGCGGTTGGTTGCAGGCATCTTTCGGTTCTCCACCTTGTTGACTATACGGGAGTAGACAACATGGAGTGGCTTGAGTACCTTGGGAGGTATGGATCGTTGAGGGAACTTGTTGTAAAGGATTGCAATGGAATCAGCCAGTATGACATCATAAAATTTGGTCCAGGATGGGCGAATCTCCAAAAATTTGAGTTCGAGAATAATGGAAATTACTGGATGACAGGGGCCCGTGACCCCTCCAACGTGTCTGGATACCCATATAGCTATGACATCTGCTGTGATAGTTTGAAGGACCTTAGGTTGGCTCATTTTAGAACTCAGCCAGAGATTGGACTTCTTTTTCTCCTGGGGAAGTGCAAAGCATTGGAGACACTTTACCTGGAGTATGTTATTGGTATAAATGAGAATGAGATGATTGCACTATTCCAGAGGTGCAGCAACCTTAAGACCATCTCACTTCGGCTTATGCCTGTGCGATGTGAAGATTATGAGTTTAGGACGCCACTGACTGATGTTAGCCTTAAGGCTCTAGCTCTCAGCTGCCCTATGCTTCAGGTTGTAGAGCTCACTTTCACATATTGCGAACACAAGTATCCTACCAGAATTGGCTTCACACAAAAGGGTATTGTGACGCTCATCCAATCTTGTCCAATTCACACTCTTTTGCTAGATGGTGCCAACATTTTTAAAGACAAGGGGATGAAGGGCCTCTCATCCTCGCGGTTCCTGGAGACACTCAAGCTCGTGAATTGCAGGTCTGTTACTGATGCTGGTATTGGTTTCATTATTCAGGCTCCTTCCTTGAGCAGTCTCATCCTCTGCGAATGTGAGAAAGTGACAGATGATGGAATGGCTGCGCTGGTACGTTTGCAGAAGTTGGAGTCCTTGAACGTTATAGGGTGTTGTAAGGTCTCTGAGGAGGGTGTCCAGGGTGCTGCCAGATCAGTTCACTACGCGGCAGAGGTGGAACGCTATGACATCCTAAAAGGAATAAAGCTCACTCAGTCTTGGGAGTAATCTTTGGCTGTTGATTCAGGTGCTGCATATGATGGCAGAATTTAGTGGCTACAATATTGTGGAAGTAATTGAAAGACAGATGTACCTGAAAATTGCCATGTGACCCAACTCCAATTGCTCAGCTATCTACTTATCTTAGACTTGTAGCACCTTCGGAATTTGTCAGGATTATAATGTGTTGCGAGGCTGTGAATGACAGTTGTTTTTCCTATTCTTTATTGCATGTCTTCGCACTGCTTCTTACATTAAAGTATAAAGGGGGCAGAGAGATCCTTTCATTGAGATCTAAGATGATGCCTATTTTTTGTATGAAGTCTGTGGGTCTTTAGATTTATCAGCAACTCTGATTTTTTTTATTTTTTTATCAGCAACTCTGAAATTCTGAAGAAGATCCAGAAAAACGCACGTAAAGCAGCCAGCCAGAGGACAAAAACGGTTTACTGAATCCTTGGACAGCAGTGAACAAACCATGCCTACTTTGATGCGCCACTCCGACGCTGTCTCCTTGCACGTCGAGCGCGCCGGCGACGGCCCGCGCCGACCTGCATCTGAGTGGCGCCTGGCCTTCCGCTTTCCAGCGTGGAAGGTCGCAGGGTGCATGCGACTGATCAGTGCTGGTTCGCGCGCTCTTCTGAACTCAACACCTCATTCGCGCACCACCCACCTCCTCGTCGGCTCCAGCAACTGCTGCCGATCGGATTGCCCAACTGGGGAGATTGTGCCGCGGATGCTCCGACGGAATCCCCGGATTCAAGGTATGTTTCTTCCCAATCAGTGAGTACTAATTACTAGGATTGCACAATACTACTATACTTCAGATCGTACCTAGTGGCACAGCACGTTTCAGCACCAACAAATGATTCAGTTTCCGGAATACAAATGTGGTTACACTTCATGCAGTACCCACTCAATTTCAGAGTGCACATAGGATCAGGAAACATCACCCTACATATTCATTGGATTGAGATACATGCACACTTGCACAATAGTGAGTCGGTAAACAACGCTAGCATGCTCCCATTGGATGCAGGTTATTCATCCGAGTACATTAACTAGACAAGGAATCTGAAAAGATGGTGGATTGCCAACGAGCAGAGGGGTTCGACAGAGCTAATTAAGCTGGTTAAAGATCTAGAGACAGAACAAATAAATAGATGATCCATCACCTCGAATTTTTGATTACTTCGTCAACTGCCACACCAGTAGAGCTAAATTGATAATGATGAATTAAGCGTCATATGGATCACAAAGTAGCCCACCACCGCAATGATGAGCACGATGACATACACGGACGTCTTCCACCCCTGCTGGAGCCAGTTGCATAGGCCACTAGGAGAGCGACCAAATCCAGTATGACCGCCTGTTCATCACCCTCAGTGAACATTTTTCCCATTCTCCTTCCTCCTTTGGCAGCCATTGAGGTGGGAGCATGACGATGACGACGATGGAAGCCATGAAGGAGATGGAGTTGCTGTATAAGAAGGCGAGGTACCGGGGCCTCCTGTTGTCGTGCATCACCGGGTTGCCCGCCTCGTACGCATTGCTACTGCTCTGCCACTCTCCACCAGGCGGTTCCAGGCCAGCCTGGTAGGCTACGCTTGCCACCAAGATGCCTAGCAGCATTAGGTACTTTCGCTTCGCGTGCTTCTTGCTTTCTTGATCCCCCATCTTTTCTCCTACCTTCTCCCCTTATTCGTCCTGTTCTTTGGTTGCCGAATTGTTGCCATCCTCCTTCCCTTCTTCGTCCCGTTCTTTGGGTGCCGAATTGTTGCCATTCTTGTTCGGCCCCTTCAATAAAAATACTAGCAGCAGTACGACTACAACAAAGAGGACCACGGCCACCAATGCGAAGATGTAGATGGATGTCTTGAGGTGTTGCGTCTTCCGGCAGCGTAGGCCCCCATCAAACAAAACAAGCCCACCGCCGTACAAACAACTAGCACATTGCTTCATATGGCTGGCTTGTACATATTGGGGTTCACCGGGAGGATGATGAGGGCGATCGACAACATTAAGCTTATTGAGTTGCAGTAGAAGAAGGCATTGTAGCGGCGTGGGTAGTTGTCCAAGAGGGCCGGGTCACCGGCATAGTGCCGTCCGAACTTGTCGTCCTGGGCGGAGTACTAATTATAGGCTATAATAAGGCGCAAAGGCATCTGGGTGGGCTGAGGGTGGTGCCAAAGGGCCCATATAATCAGCAAGCTGCAGCCCATCACGTTCACGTACGTCCGCTGTTCACATCCAGTCGCCACGCCCCCACGTCTGCACGGATCGATCAATCCATCCGTCGTCTCCCGAGTCCCGACTCCCAAACAGCCAAAGCGCGGCGGCGGCGGCGATCGATCCGTTGCTACTTCATAGAAAAGTTTAGGCAGCTGCCGGCTGGGCGGCCGGCACACCGCACACGCCTATGCGGCTACGCGACTGCGCGCGGCAGCGGGATCCGGCAATCGACACTTCGATACACTGTAAATTTTTGCTCCCCTCCCAGATTCTTTGCTGAGCAGCAACATATTTTTCAATTATCACTCCCTCAATTTGAATTCTGCTTCGGTATAGCCTTTTGTGTGTTGTTATTCTTAAATTTTCGTACAAGTTCCATCAATTGTATGTATGAACTTATAGCTAGCAGATTAAATCTTACATAAATATATTATATGAGAGGTGCTTTTCATCTATGGAACTTGTCAAAGCTTACTCACGCAATTGCCTCAATGATCACAGCTTGGGTAATGATGTTATCTGTTACTACATGGAGAAAAAAGATGAAAAAGGTCACCAGTTTCATGTCTAGGGGCAAGAGAATTTATTAAAGGTAATTTTCAAAAAATTAAGCCCTTCTAAGTTCTTTGATTTGGGCACTATATTATGTTCTTTTTGAAAAGTCAATTCTATTTTTTATTTTGTTTACCTTGTAGGTTATTGAACCTTGATTTTTGACGATGTGTTTTAGAACTTGGAAACGAAGACAAACTTTTCAGGTAATTTTGTTCTTTGTTTTAGGATTATATCAATATATTGCTGTTAATTTTTTTCATAGATCGACTATTGTTATGTCTGAAATTCATGTTAGAAGATGTTAAACATACCTTTATTCAATGCATCGTTGATTGAAAATTTTATGCCATAGTGAAGTAATGCATCAGAGTAACATTAGTGTCAGCTCCGTCCCTAGTCATGGAGCAGGAAGCCACCTGGAGGGGTGAGGCCGGCTTGGTAGGTGATGGTCGCTGCCAAGATTGCAAAGAGAGGCAACCGTTTGCACCTCTTCTCTAGCAACTGGTGTTCCTGGACTCTGGCTTTCTTATCCTTGTGGTCCAGCGTGAAGAAGACAACACAGATCACCATATAGACAATTCCCGGCGGCATACACGCGGATGAGGCCAAACAGGTCGAGTATCATGGCTACCTCCAGCACGTGATGCTTGACCAGAATCCCCTTCTGAACTAGGACAATGGCCACCAAGGAGGCCACAAACACAAGCGAGTTGCAGTAGTAGAAGGACTTGTACCGCCTAGCGTTGGTCGTGAGGAGAATGGGGTCACCAGCCATGTGCCCCTCGACGTTGTCCTGCCAAATGCCACATGGCGGGTCCAACCCCGCTGTGTAGGTGATGGTGGCAGCAAGAGTGGCCAGTAGTAGAACAAGATAGCGAGCCTTGTCCAGAGCTTCGCTAGCACTGCATTCATACATTGCAGAGAAAGAAGAAACAGAGTTCAGTTTAGTTGCAGAGAAATAAAGAAGAAATTAGTGTAACTGCAAACAGAAGAAAAAGATTATCTATATTGGCTTGGATCCGAAGTTTGGAACTAGATGGGTGGCGACAACCATTGGGAGAGGAGGTTTTTGATAGCTAAAGCCTGTAAAATTAAGTTAGTACGAGAGGAAAGTAATGTGTACCTTCCATTATCACCTGGAGCGAAAAACAAGACAATAATTTTCACTCTGAACTGCAGAAGCCATAGAGTTGGAGCATGATGTATGCCACAACGGCGCCAACCAGAGAGACCACGTAGACGGTGGTGTCGGTCTCCGTGCAGCTGCCAGTAGCATAGGTACCGATGAGGCCGACCAGTGCGGCGACGATGCGGGTGTAGAGTACGTAGACGGAGCCAGTTTGTCAGGGAGCTTCTTGCCGGCGATGGTAAGCAGTATGGTGATGAGCAAGGATGCCATGAAGTCCATGGTGTTGTAGAGTAAAAACACCGTTAGGCCCACGCTGCGGTGGTCCTTGAGGATCGCGTTGCCCGGCGGTGGCTGCCCTTAGTGGTGTACCAGAAGCCGCCTGGCGTGCTCAGTCCGGCGATGTAGGTGATACTCACTGCGAACGTGGCGAGAAGCATCAAGACCTTGCGGAGCCGTTCTTCTGTTTTCATCATCAACTTTTGGGCCTCCTTTCCTTCCAGCAGGTATTCAGGCTATCAATACTAACTTCCTCTGAATTTTCGGCGTTAGACCCGCCCGATATTGTATTACCATTCTGTGGGGTTTGAGTTACCGAAGGGAAAATCTTTCATGGCTAATGATGCTTATGATGCCGCGGGTGATTTACCATTATCGTCACTAATAAAGGGGTCGGTTTCATCACCTTTACTGGGTGTAGTGTGATGCACGCTCATGTCATCTGAAGACTCCGTACGCTTCGCACTCGTGAAGGATGCTTCATTCTTCTCCTCCATACGTTCATTCAAAGGAGTTGAATTAACTTCCGGGAAATATTTCGGCTTGTACTTCTTCGTCCACTCTTTACTTTCATTCACAAAAGAGAACTCATCACAGACCTCCTGATTTGTCTTCAAGATCAGCCCTTTCTTGTTCAACTTCTCAATCAGTATCTGCAAAATACATCCAAAACATTAAGTACATGCAAACATTATGTACATGCCCATGGAAAATAAAATAGACATCAATCATTACCTCAGCACATTTATCAGGAATGAGACGAATTTCTTTCTACATATCTTTTATGCGTTTCATGACTTGATCCAATGTAGTGTCCCTACTCGATGAACACTCGGATTTACTATCTTTTCTATTTCCGCCACCACCTTGTCGTTTCGGGTGCTCAGTTTCTTTCTCTTGAATTAATCCTCCTTTAGCAATTATGGTGTGCCTGTACTCTTCACTTATTAAGTCGTCAAACTGTGAAATGTTGAACGAATTTAACTAAGTGAACAATTAAATACTCCGATTAATGCATTCAGTAGAAGCCATAAGTATTTACCTTCTCATGACCACGGCCGTAGTTTGTGTCATACTTACCACGCTTCGAAGCCTCAACTTCATACCAATTTATCATGGGTACTCAGAAGACAGAGGATCGAATGTCTCTACAGTTGTTGGTTGCACTTTCTCCTAGTACATGTACTGTATGAATATCAAGTGAGTTAGCAATCTTAAACTATGGAAATGTAATTATAAAGACACAAATTAAAATTACGACTTATCTGAATGAGTGTGAGGTTTCCCACTGACCATTTGAATTTTTTGACATCTCTAACTGTCTTTTGTGACCCCATCAATGCACACGCATAACGTAAACGCGTTTCAATTAAATGATTTTATGGCGTCCACATCATCCACCAACTTGTAAAAGCTACGACGGACATGTTTATTGGAGTGCAGTGCTATAATTGTGCTAAGGAGAACCAATACAGTTCTACGCACAAAGTCATCACAATACATGTCACTCTTAACAATGTTTTCAATCAACTGGTCTATCACTATTTCACCATTACGGGAATCCAGAAAATGAGAAGGCATCATTTCCTTCTCTACTTTACCTATTACTTTCATCACATCTTTACCCTTGTTCTCTAGGCCAAATATGTGAAAGGCATCATCAGTGCGCAATGATATGTCACCGTTTTTCAGACGCATAACAAACTTTTTTTGTCAAGTCATATGTTTTAATAATAAATTTCAGCAAGCACTTCGGCATTTGCACACTAGGAATCAACATCATTTTCTCCAACCTAGTGCCACCAAGCCGCTTTCGTTGCCTAGAGTTCAATTTGTTCACCAACGTGCACCACTTCTCGACAGGACAATAAATTCTCCATATTCCTCCATACTAAACGAAAAAATCACACGGAGTGTTAGCTATTTTTAACATGGCCCACGATGAGAACGATAAATTATGACGCAATGGCTAGATTTGAAAGCACCACCATACCTTCGCTGCGGGGGGACTACGTCGTCGTGGCAGGTGGCTCGTGCCTTGGCTGCGCAAGGGGTGGGGTGGCATGCTCAGTGTGCCGTCGGTCCTAGCCGTCAACTTGAACGGGGGTTTGGCAGCGTGATCTAGAGGGCAGGGGGTGTTACACCGTGGAATCACGGCGTGATATGGAGGCGACGGCATGACCGTGGGAGGGCGCCGTGCGTGATGGGCGGCGTCGTGATCGTCAAAGAGCTTGGAGGGCAGCGAGATAGGGTGATGGAAAATTGCGTGACATGAGCAGTGTGGTGATGAGCAAGGATGCAACGAACGTCGTGGTGTTGTAGAGTAAAAACAACATCAGGCGCACACTGTGGTGGTCCTTGAGGATCGCGTCGCCCGGGTGGTGGCTGCCCTTAGTGGTGTCCCAGAAGCCACCTGGCGTGCTCAGCCTCCCAACCCTGCCTACCCACATCACACAATTTTCCATCACCCGATCCCGCCGCCCTGCCGGCTCTTTGACGATCACGCCGCCGACCATCACGCGCGCCGCCCTCTCACGGTCACGCTGCGATTCCACGGCGTAACACCCCCTGCCCTCTAGATAACGCCGTCAAACCCCCCGTTCAAGTTGACGGTACAGACTGACGGTGCACTGAGCACGCCACCCCCCGCCCCCTCCCCCCTGCCCCCGCAGCAATGAAGGTCTGGTGGTGCTTTCAAATCTATCTGTTGCGTCATAATTTATCGTTCTCGTCGCGGCCATGTTTAAAATAGCTAACACTTCTTGTAATTTTTTTTCGTTTAGTATGGAGGAGTATGCAAAAATTTATTTATTGTTCTGTCGAGAGGTGGTGCACATTGGTGAACAAATTGAACTCTAGGCAATGAAAGCGACTTGGTGGCACTAGGTTGGAGAAAATATTGTTGATTCCTAGTGTGTAAATGCGGAAGTGTTTGCTGAAATTTATTATTAAAACGTATTACTTGACAAAAAAAAGGTTTGTTATGCGTCTGTAAAACAGTGGCATATCATCGCGCATTGGTGATGTCTTTCACATATTTGGCCTAGAGAACAAGGGTAAAGATGTGATGAAAGTAATAGGTAAAGTAGGGAAGGAAATGATGCATGTACAACTTCACGACCATCCACACACCATACTCGCAACGAGTCTCGGGTCTAAGCCTGCGGGTGCAGCCCTCCATGGTTATGAATTTGCTCTGCCTTCTCTCCGCCCTGGAGCAAAGGAACCGCCTGAACCGTATAATTCCTGAAGCACCTTTCCCTCATTTCACCTTCTCTCTCGTGATGCTGAACCCACGCTCTTTGGTGTGTTTGTTGTAGAATATGTATGCATACTCTTGGGACCGAAATGTCATAATTATGACCTCGCAATGTGTCTCCAGCATCTGCTGCTGGCTTTGAGCCTCCTCAGTGTCCATCTCTGCTTCGTTGAGATCACCGCTAGGACCATCTGACCCCTCCTAGAAAATTACATATGAAACTATGTCAATTACTATTATTTATTTCATACCACTACGCACCGTACAAAATGTTTGAACGAACTTGGCTCAAGTTATCGGCGAATGATTCCTGAAAATTGTTTTGCTCATTCTCAACATCCACATCTTCTTCTAAATTAATAGACATAGACAAATAATTAGCCATATGGTACTTTGCAAATTCAAAAAATGTAATAATAGATGTCACTTACTTTTTCACTGTTTGCACCAAGTTCATTATTTTCAAAATCCTCCGAAGGTAAGATATCATATGACGAGCACGATTCGGTGTCACTGCTGTAATCATCTTCGTTAATAGTATCGTTATCGGTCTGAGTGACCTTATCAGTACCATTCTCATCGCCCGTGAATGCGGTTTCTTCGTCCATATAAACACACCTATCTAGCAAGACTGCACAACATTGATAATTTTTTTATCTCGGGTTAAAGTTCATACAGTGGGTCATGCCGATGAATAAATTGCAAGATTAAAACTATTTAAACTTATTTTTACAAAAACTAAATCATTTCGATCCGTCATACAAGGGTTAGATGGCAAACCTTGGGTGGCGGTGTCGACGTTGCTAGTCAAGGCCGACGGGGCCTTGAGGCAGGGGCCTCCGGCGTGATTCAAGACGACGGCGACGTGGAAGACGAGGAAGCCACCCGCGGGATTATGGGGCGGATCTGCGGCGGGGGATGACTGCGGTCAGTGGTGGCGGACGCGGCGTGGGACGTCGGGGCGGTCAGTGCCGGCATGGACCGCGGCATGAGAAGCGGTGTGGGACGGGGTTGGAACGATGTCCGAAGCTGGCGACCACGGTCTTCCACACGTCCGGCCACCGGCGGCGATCGGCCAATTGGGCAACTGGATCGGGAGCCGCGTGATCGTCAGGCGGGCGGCGAGATCGTGCAAGTTTTTTGTTTTTTTTCCTGGGCGGGCGGCAGGTGGGCATGATAGTGGAATTGTTTTTTTTAATGGCATGGGCGCGCGTATCAGTACGGCCGGACGGTACGTGTGCAATACGAGGTGGGTACACGTTTCCTTGAAATGACCCATCTGCCCTTCTACGGTTGGCGTGGGTGGGTGGGGGTGGGTTACCGAAGCTGAGCTCTTGTTCGTCGTCACCACAATGAATTTATTATCCCGCGGCATGTGTTTGCTTGTTTTTCTCTAATTCGGGTTGTGTTTGTTTCTTTTCTCCAATTCTGGATGTGCTTGCTTGATGGTGGCTTTCTGTATTGCCCTACAGGATATGCCCGACGACGACATGGAACAGTTTAACCAAAAGCTAATAATCGCAACAGGTAAACACAATAGTATGTCAATCTTACAAATGAAGAGGAAGAAAACAAGGCCCTCGTTTGGTGTGTGTGGTCTGAAACATCATCATCTAAATTTACTTTTCTACTGATTGCAGGCCTGCAGGCTAAAGGCGCTGGGTTGAATGAGTCCCGAGTGTTAGAAATGTTGTGCATCAGCATGTATCTGTCTGATCGTCTCGCGGATCTTCTCTAATCTCTACCCAAAGGGTACTCTGCTGTGAATGAAATCCTGCAGATGAGAACTCAAAGTGCAAGCATTCTTCGCATCAAGTTTAAACTCATGTGGGGTGCTGGCCGCCATTCAGATGCAGCCCGCAGCTCACTGGTTCTTCTGTGTAACGCCTGATGCCCTTACAATCTTGCATGAACACTGTTTTCTCTGCCGTTTTGCACTGAACTATTACCATGCATGTTTAGTGTAAGATAAAGGCGTTTGTTCCTTGTTCATAATCCCTTTGCTCTGTTTCAGATCTGCGTGTTGATAAGTTATGGAAATTCCTGTCTAACGCAGATACCGCTGTAAGGCAACTCAGTTAGCAGATCTAATTAATCTCCAGGCTTAATGTGCTCAATGACTCCTGAACCTTAAATGTTGCCCAAGCAGCCAAAGGAACCTGATATGCTTTTGAAATGTATATATAAACATGCTATTAAGAATAAAAGGGTGCCATGTTTGGATATCTCAATCAAAGGAAGTAAGTAGACCTTACAGACAGGAGAATGCAAAGAGATAAAATCGAAGCTACTCCCTCCGCCCCATAATATAAGAGCGTCTTAACACTACACTACTGTCAAAAACGCTCTCAAATTATGGGACGGAGGGAGTACTATCTTAACTATCCAAGACTCCCGAAAAAGAAAGGATAAACAAACCTACCTGATAACTCTTTTTTGGGCAAAACATTCCATTAAGCATAAATTACAAACAAGGGGCACACAAGTCCCCGATTACGGGGGCAGCCATACTAAGATGATTAAATCCGAAAAAGCAAGACCTCGCCTGAATCGGGATACAGAACCTTAAGTGTCCCACAAGCAGCCAAAAGAACATGTTATTCTTTCAAAATCTGAACCCCACAAACAAATAAAAACTAAAAGGTACCAAGTTCGGAATGCAAGGACACATTTAAAAATAGAAACAATGCAAAGACATCATAATTAAAAACGGTGGCTGTTCATAATACGTAAGAGTTAACACCTAGAGCATTTGAACTGGTCAGAGGAAAATGATAGCTGCAGCTTCAATCTTCAAAGTAACGACCAAAGACTACACCCATGCTCGATTGCTATGTCTTGCGTCCATTCCTTTTCATGCACATACCTTTTAGGCTGTCATGGCTTTCAATCTCTGCCGAGTAGCGAACTGATTTGGCAGCACCCTGCACACCTTCGTGAGAGACCCAGTGGCAGCCTATAACGGTCAATGAGTCCAACTTCTGTGAACGTGCCAATGCAGCCATTCCATTATCTGTCACTTTCTTGCATTTGCGGAGTGTGAGATTGCTCAAGCAAGGAGCCTGAATAATGAAATTCATACTAGCATCAATTATAGATCTGCAATCCACGAGCTCGAGCTTCTCCAGGAACTGTGAAGATGAGAGGCACTTCATCCCCTCGTCATACAAAATGCTGGCACCATTTAGCAAAAGAGAGCGAATTGGGCAAGATTGGATGAGCGTCACAATACCCTCTTGTGTGAAGCCTATTTCGGTAGGCTAGTCGGGTTCGCAGAATGCGAAAGTGAGCTCAACAACCTGAAGCATCGGGCAGCTGGCAGCTAGAGCCTTAAGGCTAGCATCAGTCAGTGCTGCCCTATACTCAAAATCTTCACAGTGCAGAGGCTTGAGTCGAAGTGAGACGGTTTAAGGTTGCTGCACCTCTGGAATAGTGAAATCATCTCATTCTCATGTAGACCAATAACATACTCCAGGTAAAGTGTCTCCAATGTGTTGCACTTCCCCAGTAGAAAACGAAGCCCAATTTCTCGATCGGTTATAATATGAGCCAACCTAAGATCCTTCAAACTATCACAGCAGAGGTCATAGCCATATGGGTAGCCAGACACATAGGAGGGGTCACGGGGCTCGCTCAACCAGTAAGTTCCATTAACCTCAAACTCAAACCTTTGGAGCTTCCTCCATCCGGGACCAAATTTTAGGAGGTCACACTGGCTGATTCCATCGCAATCCTTCACAACAAGTTCTCCCAATGATCCATACTTCCCAAGGTACTCCAGCCACTCCACGTTGTCTATTGCTATACAGTCAACAAGGTGGAAAACAGAGAGATAGCAGCAACTAACGGCCACTCGGAAAATCCCAGTAGAAGTTACTGCTGGTGCAAAGCTCAGCCTGAGGGACCTCAACTTTTTGCAGTAAGGTAGATAACTAAGGCAAGCATCATCAATGTGTGCACAGAAGCTTAAGGTGAGATCAGACAGCAAGGGGCAATGATGCGATAGAACAAGGATGCCTTGGTTGTTCACCTGGTCCCCATGACTGGGTGTCCAACCAGAGTAATTGATCTCCACTTTCCACAAATTGGAGAACCGGGAGAACAGTGATGTCAAGGCTTCCGTTGTAGGGTCAACACCACAGCCAACACGGAGAGCACGCCTATGCTCCGCCTCGACGGCACAGAGCCGCTTTGACACGAGGCAAAGAGAATTGAGATCACTCGACACGGTAATCCTCTCGATGATATCTGCAAGCAGTGGCTCCGGGAGATCCTCCATCGAGTACCGCAGCTGCGCAACTTGGGCAACCTCAAGGCTCGGCAGGCACTGGACTAAAAAGAAATTATGATCAGGGTGGAACACACAAGATAACCAGATAACAGCTGTAACAAATAATGCACTGTAGAAGGAAACATGGATGAAATTTTGAAGGTTTTCTTATACGTGTCGAAAGTTTTATGTGCTTATCTTCACAACAAACGGTAAACTAATGGAGCAGCATCCTATTTGCACCCATTCCGTAGAACAAAGAAGTGATATAAATAATTTCAGATAAAAATGACACCCTAATAACTGTATAAATTTCTGCTGGGTGGGGGCATAATCTAGAAATATACCAATCTGAACACTAAACCAACATGATATCTGAACATTCCCCTTGCCGAACTGAACTCGTGTATGGAAATACCACCCAACAAATCAGACGGAGTATACCAATTTCTGCACACTCCAGAACAGATTTTACTGACTAAACCAAGCTATTTCCTCTAGCATTTCACAGAGCTTCCAGGTCCACACACAACAGCGGCCTAATTCCCTTGACAGTACGTGATGGAACTAACAGAGCAGGCGCATAACCGAGGCTACGCAGACACTACAGAGCGGAATCGACCAAGTTCAGGTGGAAGAATCGACATCGCCTCGGCTGGCTCACCCAGGTTGCTCGAGAAGGAAAAGGAATGGACCCAAGTCCGTACCTAGGAGGAGCCGACGACCCGGGAAGGGCGACGCCGGCCGGGGACGGGAGAGCTGGGAGGAAACTTAGGTGATTAAGGGGGTGGATTGGGCGGAGAAACCTCCGCGGCGAGCTCGACGGCGAAACCCTCGCCCCCCTCCCTTGCGGCGTGAATGGCCTCCTTTACTTTTTTTTGAGGGCTGCCTCCTTTACTTCTTTTTTAGGGGTCCCTCCTTTTTACTCCGGCAGCTCGATTCAGCAGAAGCAAAGATGGCTTACACTTTGGGCCTAGTGATGCGGCCCATTTTCGATCGTGGAGCCCCACTGCGAGTGTGGACCAGACCTAGCGCATACATACGTGATTTATTCCCCTATAAAAAAATCATACGTGATTAATCGATGCAATCACCACAACCGAAAGGAGAGAGGAGGTTTGAAGCACGTTGGTTGAAGGAGGAGACAGTGAATGAGACCGTCAACACGGCATGGCAGCGAGCCCATCTGGCGGGTGTTGGACCGTCACTGGCTGATCGTACGCGAGCAGTTAAGGCGGATTTATTTCAGTGGGATTGTGACACACTACGAGGGCCAAAGAAAAGGATACATAAATTGCAGAAAGAGCTGGATAAGCTAAGGCGAGGGCAGCTAACCACCGAATCTAGACAGAAAATGAAGGAAACACAAATACTTATTGAGAACCTACTAGACCAGGAGGAAATTGTTTGGCTACAGCGAGCACGGGCAAACTGGTTACTCCACGGTGACCGGAACACGTCTTTTTTTTCATAAAGCAGCAACAGCACGTAAGAAGAGGAATTGTATTAAGAGGCTCCTAGATGATACAAGTGTGTGGAGAGAAGATATGGATGAAATCAACTCTATCATTACTGGATATTTCGGTAATCTGTTTACCTCCCAAGTTAATGTACCAAACAGGAACGTTTTGGACCATGTGCATACTAGGGTAACTACTGATATGAATGAGAGACTGATGGCTCCTTAGAAGTGAAGAAGGCTTTATTTTCCATCGGTGATCTCAAGGCCCCGGGGCCAGATGGCTTACATGCTATTTTTTACAAGCGTTTTTGGCCCATGCTTGGTGATGATCTGGTCGCAGAAGTACTGAGTGCAGTCAATTCCCAGGTGATGCCACAAGGTTGGAACGACACCACGATTGTCATGATCCCAAAGGTACAAACACCAGAGAAAGTTTCGCAGTTTAGACCGATCAGCCTTTGCAATGTGGACTATAAGGTTATCTCAAAAATGATTGCCACAAGACTAACATTATTTTTGTCTGATATAATAAGTCCAACCCAGAGTGCCTTTGTCCCAGGGAGGTTAATTACAGACAATGTCCTTATTGCATATGAAAGTTTACATACAATTAAGCAGAAGAAAACAGGCAAGGAAGGGTGGTGTGTGGTTAAGCTTGATATGCATAAAGCCTATGACCGAGTCGAGTGGGTATTCCTGGAAGCTATTCTCCTCAAGCTTGGTTTTCATGAAAAATGGGTGAATCTGGTTATGTCATGTGTATCTTCTGTTGAATATAGAGTCAGGTACAACTCGACAGAGACTGAAGCGTTCAAACCATCGAGAGGGCTTCGTCAGGGGGATCCTCTCTCGCCATATCTTTTTCTTCTCTGCATGGAGGGACTAACTGCCCTACTTTCTAGGGCTGAAAAAAACGGCAACCTCGTGGGGGTCAAAGTTTGTCGTGATGCACCAGTAGTGTCAAATCTTTTGTTTGTAGATGACTCACTCATCCTGATGAAGGCCAATGCTACTAATGCTGCTTGCCTTAAATCTATCCTGGATCTATATTGTTCGGCATCCGGTCAATTGGTCAGTGTGGAGAAATCAAGTTTTTTTTCAGCCCAAGTACAGATGTCAATGTGAAGGCACATGTATGCTCAATTTTAGATATCATGACAGAGGCGTTGAATGACAAATATTTAGGCCTCCCAGCTACTTTGGGGATTGATAAAAGTGATAGCTTCCAATATCTGATTGATCGTCTGGTTCAGAAACTTATGGGATGGAAAGAGAGATGCTTATCTTCTAGGGGAAAAGAAGTGCTCTTGAAATCGGTAGCGCAAGCTATACCAACTTATGCGATGTCCGTCTTCAAAATTCCTAAAAAAATATGCAAAGGAATCACAGATGCGATGTCTCGTTATTGATGGGGTGACGACGCTACTAATAAAAAGATGCATTGGTTTGCCTGGTGGAAGATGTGCGTACCAAAGAAGAAAGGCGGTATGGGCTTCAGGGACATTCATTGTTTTAATCTTGCACTTTTGGTAAAACAAGCATGGCGCCTCATTGACAATCCAGACTCACTATGTGCAATTATTTTAAGAGCCAAGTACTTCCCTGATGGAGATCTTATGAGTGCTACTTTGAAGCAAAAATCTTCATATACTTGGCAGATTATAATGGCTGGTGTGGACACACTGAGACGTGGGTATATTTGGAGAATTGGAGATGGTGAAAAGGTGAATATATGGGAGGACTCGTGGATTCCTCAATCACCGACAAGAAAGGTCCTAACCATCCGAGGTAATAATTTAATCACCCGAGTCTGTGATCTCATCGACCCAGCAACCGGAGATTGGGACTCACAATTGGTTAATCAAACGTTCTGGGAAGTGGATGTCCAGAGAATACTTTCTAGACCATTGCCCATATATGAAATGTCAGATTTCATTGCATGGGACCCCACCAAGAATGGAATCTTTTCGGTACGATCTGCTTACCAAGTGGAATGGAATGCTCAATTTGGTCACTTGCTGCAAACTAGAGATGAATCATCGTATCCCGATGAGAAGTGGAACTTGATATGGACCTTACAGTGCCCCGCAAAGATCCGGATTTTTATTTGGAGAGTTCTCCATAGTGCTATTCCGTGTAGGGCGGTTCTGGCGTCGAAGCACATGAAAGTGAAAACACATTGTCCGGAATGCAATATGGGACCGGATAGCATCAAGCACTTCCTTTTTGAGTGCCCAAGATCAAAAGAGGTATGGCGACAATTGGGGTTGATTGATGTTGTCAAGAGGAGATGTACACAATTCAAATCAGGTGAAGAAGTGGTGCATGAATTATTAAGCATGGAGGAAACTGAAGTCCAGATCCTAGGTCTTCCCAAACCGAAGGAGGTTGTGGCCACTGCAGCATGGTATCTATGGTATGAACACCGAAAAAAGTACCATGGAGAGGACACCCAAAAACCCTCACAAATTGCTCTCGCTATCCGAGGACTCTCAGCTAACTTTACTATTGCTTGTTCCACTAAGGCAAAGCTACGTGTTGGTTCATGGGAGAAGCCGATACAGGGGTATATGAAATTAAATGTAGATGCTGGCTTTGACCGTGATCTTCTTGAGGGATCAGTGGGGGTAGTAATCCGAGATTACAACGGGAAATTTATTGCGGCAGCTAATGAACGAGTGGACATATGCTATGATTCATTCACTGCAGAGGCATTGGCAGCCAGATTTGGTTTGAATCTAGCCAGAACCATTGGATGCAACAAAATCGTGATCAACTCGGATAGCATGGAGGTTGTGGAAGCTTTGAGAGCAGGCAACTCCTCTTCGGTGGCAAGTGCAATTATTGATGATTGCTATTTCATGTCGTCAGATTTTAATCATGTAATTTATGATCATTGTAATAGAGAGAGTAATAAAGTAGCTCATGAACTTGCTAGGATAGTTAAGTTTTCTCCTCCTTCTATCTGGATGGATTCGGCACCGGATGTACTGCTTCCATTGCTTGTAAACGATGCCACTATTTTGCTAAGTGAATAAAGGAGGTGAAGTTCTGTCAAAAAAAGATACTTTGATTTTTTTTCACAAAAAAAAGATAATTTGGTTTTTGTACTAAAATAAGATACTTCCTCCGATCTAAATTAAGAAACACAACTTCACTACAAAATTAAACTAAAGATGCGTCAATTAATTTGAATCGCCCCCGCAAAAACAAATTGAATCGGATGGAGTATGTGATTTTTATTTAATATGCTTGATATGCCTACACCTAAATTATTGTAATATTTTGTGGCGTTAGGACATTTGTTTGAGTAGGTCGTGGCAATAAAAAAAACAAATTTTGGCCTTGAAAGAATCTTTGGAAAACTGCACTCTTTAGACCCGATTTTATTTTGTTTGCATGAGCTCCTCACGTGTTATTTGAGCACAAAATTTTGCACGCTCCTAAAAAATCAAGCATCTTGGATATCGAAATTTTTGAGAAAATTGTTTCTATTTTTATTTCCAAAGCCTGAGCACCGTTGTGGATATTACTCACTCCAACAGGT